TTTTGCATCCACTGTTGGAAAGATATTGAAAAACAAAGTCCGAATATGTGAATATGAAACCAACTTTACCGCAGTATCTACTACGCGTTCAGATGAAGCTGTACGCCCGGCCACGCGCATGTTTTTATTCCGGTGTGAGTGTTTTCGGTGGGTATAAGATGGCATTGAGCGAATACGGGGCTCTTTGTAAATGAGTAAGAGATGAACGCGGCTGGATCCAGACTGGCAGACCGCGCGCACAGACGCAGATCGACACTGCGCAGTAAATATCAGCTGGGCTGGGTTCGGGGAGGTTCGGCCGGGTTGTGGAGCCATTGAGACGGATGGTTTAGGAGGAAGAAGCGCGCTGGACCCGCACAGAGGGCCCTCAGCTGCGCACATGAGCTGTTCCGAGCATCCTCGTGTGTTTATTTGAGCTCTCAATTCATCATCACCTTTACTTGGCGGTAAGTTACAACGTTTGTCTCCATACGGGTTTAATTTGGATTAATTGCTAAATGAATAAATGCATTCATATTGTAGTCAATAAAAACATGGTATTGGCATTAGAATCCGCACATCACCGTTTGCTGTTTATACTTATGGAAAATATAAACCAAACAACATCATATTTATATTAAATTTACATTTACTTACACTTTTTTTACATTACCAAAACGTCTAGAATTACATGTCGGATAATCGGTCCCCTAGATGCCACAGGTTAAAGCTACTCCTACAGAATAAAATGTACCATAATGTTAACCTGTTATAATATTCATGCTTTTGTTTCCATATTAATGTGTTAATTACAATACATTTACTATTTTATCAAAGCAATATACATGCCATATTGGCAATCATTTTTTTTGGCAGTAAATCCAAATGAAATCCACACCAAGGTGAACATGTCCATGAAAAACCACTCAAGGTAGCAATCTATAACTGTTATAATTCAAGCATTCAAATGCCATGAAAAATGCAGAATAACCAGTATATTCGGTGCACCAGGAAATCTTTAAATTTACTCTATATTTTAGACTG